GTTCGTCAGATATCTCCTTTGGGAACGAGGCTGAGAATCTTCAACCAGGGGGTTCCGAAGAAGAAACCTCCATGGGTGTTCCGCTGCCGGCCTTCTATGCTGATGACCCGTTGGAGGACCAACCTCTAGCTGGTGATCCCTCGGAGCACGATTATCAAGTTGCTAGTGCTGCAGCGTTTTTAGCGCAACAAGGCTTCGACTTCGAATGGGCCCAACTTACAGAAGCTCAGCAAGACATATACCATGAGCTGATGGGGATGTGGCTCCAAAACATCCATGAGATCGATTAATTCGGTCTGAGGCATCGAAGTCCCAGTCACTCGGGCTCAATGTGCTGGTGTAGCCAGATCAGTTTTGACAAAGATGGACGTTTGGCGACTTGTCCACGAAGGGGGTTAGTTTGCCAGAGTCCTCCTAATATGGGGTACCTAGGGTATACTGCAATGTAAGTATCCCCCTTCCGGAAGGTTCATCGAGGAGGTTTACCTTCCCCATCCCGCACAGGTTTTCCATGTAGGATGTTAGGATTAATTAGTTTTTGGGTGTTATAAGCAGATACCAAGCCTGTGTTCTGCCTACAGCATTCTTGTCCGCCCAACCGATGCGTTGAGGCGTTGCAAAGTAGCAGTACCTTGTGTATTCGAGGCTCTCATGGTGAGGCTGCTACTAGTGCGTTAACAGTGCACCGTTCTTTTGGCACGCTCCGGACGGTAAGGGTCTGTTGCTGGGAGTTGCCGTTAGTAGGTTTATTTTAGGTACCCAAAGATCCGATCACAACCCTTTGCATCCCGTGTCAGACGCGCCGGTGCTGCGAGCAGCAGGGGGAGTGTGCGTCTGGTGGCAAGGTACTGTCGAGGAAGCATGCTCTTCATCAGAGCCATCTCTCTGCCAAGGTCAGGGTTCAGGGATGTTCTTAGGTATCTCATGGTCAGTGAATGGAGTACTAATTTTGAAAGCGATTGTAGATTGGTATATGTGTTCCTTTACCCTGGTCCCTTGTAGAGATCAAGGAACCTCGTAGACTTTACCTTGTGTGGATCTTCTTTGGGTTGTTGGCGAGAGAAAAAGAGTGCTGAACTTCGGTGCTTGAGCCATGGATCGCGAAACAACAAACCCGAAATACTAAACCTCTTAAAGCCTAAGCCCTAAACTCTGCCCCTAGCGTTGTCTGTAGTGGTTCACCTCTGTTTCAGCCTTGAGGCTGTGCGGGTTCCAGGCCCTTTCTGGTTCACAGTTGTGATATGAACCATAGTCTAAACCCCCTTAATAACCCCTATAGTAGTCCCCTATATACTCCACTATATAACCCCCTTTAAGGAGTTTAGACTATAGCTCATATGCAGGATGGTGAGGGATCTGGCTGGAAACTCCTTTGCCTGTTGATTGAGGCATCTCAACGAGCGAATGAACGAGATGTCCGGCGAGTTTGCCAACATGCTGCATGAGACGCTGGAGCGCCCCCGTGCTGTTGCAACGGGGTTGGTGGTGAGAGCTTTGCGAGTCTAGGGGGTGATCCCTTCCCTGCGGCGCTTTCGAGGGCACACGGTGTATTTGATTAGGCGTATTCAGGTGCAGCTGACGTATGTGAAGAAATAGCCTTACTCATGCTGCATGATCGTGTGCATGAAGTTGTCGCAATGACCTGGGCGTACACTGAGAGAAATCTGTTCCGTGCCACTAGGGGTGTAGCTTGCTTCGGGCTTCTTTGGAGTTCCTGGGGCATTACCAGGAAGATGAAGGTTGAGCTAAAGCCTACCTAGACCCTCCAACGTAGTTCCAACCCATGCTAGAGAGCCTCCAAGCCCTTCTGGCCAAGATCACGCATTGGCATGAGCATTTGAGAGGTATCTTCTGGGGATACTACATGGTCCCCAATCTAGAGTAAGATGATAATCTTACTTGGTTCAGCCAGTAGGAAAACGCCACTCCTACCATGCGAGGTGGGGGCTTTCTGATTTCAATGGTTCCCCTACTAACTCTCTAGGTTTCCCCTTCATTGACCTTTATCGGCTTTCATTCCTCCTAAATAGTCCTATTAGGGGGAAGTAGTATGATTGCCCCAGTACCCAAGAACTGGCCGGGGCTCTTCGGATTACTGATGAATTTCATGCAGTTGCAACAGCCAGCAGAGCATCGTTGTTTTCGAAAGGAGAAGGGCAGCATTGCCATACTTCCCTTCTGCAAGCCCTGCAGACTAAGCTTTTAGCCGCTCAAGCAGCGAGAGAGCAGTGCATCCGAAATCCCATCTCCCCTTTGGAAGGATCTCATGAAGCACCACATCAATGACAAGCTGTCGGATGCAGCACTAGGCCAGGGACAGGGTAGCCTTGCTTGCTGGTTGGGGTCTCCAACTGCTACGCGCTGTCAGGGGTCATTTCGTGACACCTATAGCATTGGGGGTATGTAAGAGGGACCCAAACCCAAACCCTAAATCCCGAAACCCTCAACCCCAAGCCCCAAACCCTAAATCCTAAATCCTAAACCTTAAACCCTAGGAAGTGCCCAGGTTGCCCTGCAGTGTTAAAACTTCGGTAGGAAAACACACACTAGATTGGACTGCAGCAGTTTATGCTGGACTAGGCTCTGAGCCCAAAATCTGTGCAAACCCTAAACCGCAAGTTAGTTGCACATCCCCATATCACTTTAATCCATTATAATCCCTGTACAACCCAATATAATCCTCGTATAGCCTCCTATACAATGCCTTTACCACCCTTTAACATCTCTTTTGAACTTATAGCCCCCCTTAAGTAGATAGAATATGGCTTTGGGTATATCATAATAAGATCCCCATACCCCATATTCTAGCCACTTAAGGGGGACTATATACCCCAAACCCTAAACCCTAAATAGCAGTTTCCATTTCATTTTCCATCATCCCTATATAACCCCTATAATTCTATCTACTCAACTAAACCCTAAACCCTAATCCCTAAACCCTAAACCCTAATTATCCAACTGTTACTGAGGGGGGGGGCAGTACCCAAGGTTTAGGGTGTAGGGCCTAAACACCAGATTGGACTGCAGCAGTTCATGCTGGACTAAACTCTGAGCCTGAAAGCTCTGCAAACCCTGAAATGTCAACCTCCATATCACTTATAATCCCCTATAATCCTTGTACAACCCAATATAATCCTCATATAGCCCCCTATACCACACCTTTACAACGATTTCATATCTCTCATGAAGTTATAGTCCCCCTTAAGTAGATAGAATATGGCTTTTCTGTAAAATAATAAGATCCCCATATAATCCTAGGACTTGATTAATTTGGGGGGCCCCCCCAGAATAAGAAATTGAGGGCGCCAGATTAAAAGAATGATTGGGGTTCCTGGAATTCAATTAAAAAGAATAGGAAACCATTCCCGCGTCATCAGGGCTCCTGGACCTCTACTAATTAAAAGATGAATAGGAATGCATTGAATATCTCGATTTTCAGGATTGGTCCCCCAAACAATTTCTTGAAATCTAGTCCCTTTTCCCCATGCGAAATTCCACCTAATTGAAAGCAGTCTTTGGCGGCTAATTTTACCGAAAAAAAACTTTAAATGTGGATCCTTTTATAAATCAAGTCCTCGGATTACCCCATATTCTATCTACTTAAGGGGGACTATATTCCCCAAACCCTAAACCCTAAACCCTAAATAGCAGTTTCCATTTTATTTTCCATTATCCCTATAGAACCCCTATAATTCTATCTACTCAAGGGGGACTATAAACCCTAAACCCTAAACCCTATACCCCATAGGGGGACCATACATTCCCTGAAGTTGCAGGAACGTTTTGTTCAACAGCAAGCAACATCCACGCCTGA